TTTATATATATATATATACATATATAGATGAGTAATATGACAATGATTGCTACTTACTGGGTAATGAACACAGCGGCGAAAAAATCTTTTTCGATAGAGGAGACAAATCTCTCTCAATTAATTCTGGGAATGTGCTCATGGTTTTGCATATCTTTTCAGGAGTTAAATCCGGGGACAAATGAGCTTCACATTTTGCACAAAACAATGGATGTGGATCGTCTTTTATGTTATAAAATTCGTCAGTCAAAATGCTTTTGTCTTGAACTTTGCGTTTTACGCTCAATTCGTTATCGCCCAATGATACATTAATACCGATATCTGAAGTTGATTTTGTACCTGGGAATATTAATTCACATAGTAAGAATATAACCGAATAGAGAAAACATTTGCTTTTAGTTTTGTACTTACCTATACTTGGTTTAGGTATATCAGAGTCTGTAGAAATTATCTTTTTCTCCTTTTTCTTGGGTATGGATATTGCTTTTGACTTTTTATATTCATGTTCTAAATCTTTAATTTTGTCTGTAAAGAAAGAATGAATTTTATCTTTAAACGTAAATGAACAAATTTAATATTCTGTATTTATCAAATAATAAATAATAATAATAAATGTACGAAAGAAATATTTATTTGGTCGGTACCTTCAAAAATTGACTTTTGCAGCTCGTATTCCATAACTTTAGCAGAACATTCGTCCTCCAGCTGTTTTATTTTACATTCTAATTGTAGTATAGTCTGTTTATCTGCAGCTGTTTTTATCTCATATTCATTTATCTTGTTTTCTAACTCTTGTTCTCTTTTTTCGTCTCTTTTTTTGTCTTCTCCAATTTTCTGAATTTTTAAAAATATTATTGCCAACATATAAAACACGACAATAAATAAAATAAAAAATAACTCGCTTATAGAAAAATCTAATCAGAGACATTCACGTCAATATGAGCAGTCAGTATGAGCAAACAAGCGCAGATATATAAAGCGATATAATTATACACTAATATAACATTCATATTTTTAATCTCTACCAGTCTGATATTATAGCTAACATTTATTTACAAAGAATTAAAAAAAGAAACCGAAATTAATGCTATAAATAACTATACATATGTTACAAAAATATATATCTGTTCATTGTAAATTTTGTATAGTACTAAAATCTGCGCTCGCCGGTACATATTGATATAAAATGATTTTTCCAGACAAAATTCAGCTAACAAAAACAATAGAAACAATTAACCTTTCAAGCCAATAGTCACCGAAACTTGCTTAGTCATACATAAAAAATTTCATTATCCGCAATATCCCAAAAATGATTTTGCAAGCGTCACCTCTTAATAAGTTATCACTCTGTGATTTTATCTGATAAAATTTATTTAACAGAACCTATGAACCTGTTTCTTTTTCTCTCCTTTTTTAGTACTTAGCATGATGTTTGCTTGTCAAAAGCACAGTGAACTTCATTAATCTGATCTAACAAGATCACAGGATTTTCCGAGAGCTGAACTTAAATAATCATCAATATTAAACATGATTATCAAAATTGACTACTTTAGAATTCAAAAATCGTGAATAAACATAACAAAATTTTTAATACGTGCCACAAATAGAAAACGCGTCAATACTCTGTTTTATAATTTTGCATGTTTCTAAATATCAGCTTGAAAAGTTGCAATTCTTTTGTATTTACAGAAGGCCATTATTATATTATTTTATAAATAATTTAAAAGTATACTAATAATAAATAATCTAGAATATTATATTATTTACAAGTTCCAACTCCCTTATTTTGTGCAGAGAAGTTCCATAATTTGTTATCATGTGTTTTTTGTCCTTTTTTGCATTTTCCAAATCTGATTTCAAATCATTAATTTGCTTCATATTTTTAGCATACTGCTTAATTAAATCACTGAAATAGATAAAAATTCTATTAAACTTCTTCATGATATTTGTATCACATATATTGATAGCATATCAAAATTAATCTAATAAAAAAAACACAGGAAACACTTACTGCGTCTTACACATTTTCTGTTTCAATAAAGAAATTGAATCTTTTTCTCTCTTTATCTTGTAATCGTCTTCCTGAAAATCATTTCTTGATTAAATCATGTCCCTCAAAGGATTGAAAAAAAAAGTTGCAAAAATAGCCCGGAAAACACAGGAATTCCATAGTATGTACATAAACGTTTTTTAATACGCTTGTACTTTAATCGACATAAAAATAAAGCGAAAGATAAGGACAAGAAAACAGTAATAATAATTATAATCACCATTGATTTTTCTCAGTAAGTAGTATAAAATCAATTTCTTTCCGACAGAATTATGTTGCACTTTCTGCACTCCAAAAAAAAAATAAATACAATTAGACACTAAGGAAAAAGGAAAAAAAAAATGAGAAGTACGTGATATTCAGCTAAATTTGCAAAAAAAGCAAATCTACAGGAAGACAAAAACGACCACGCTACCGGCACGTCAGCGTGATCGCGAAAGCTTTCCGGCCGTTGAAAAAGTTTTGAGGGACAATTTATATGCTTTACAAGCTTGACAATTCGGATTAGGAGAAATGTTTAAAAAATATTTAAAAAGTAGAGTATTTGTGCTTTTCATACACATAGAATTAGAATCTAATGTTGCAACCTAACCCAACTTAACCTCACATTGTCGAACGTGCATCCTCGCGCGATTAAAGTCGCTTAATAAAATGCACCGTTTTTTATACTCACGATGTCCGTGATATTGTGAAAATCCGTGATGTTATCCATATTGCATTAAAGGGTAGCACGTAATACTTATTTCGGAAAACTGTCGATTCTCGCACATTACTAACATTACTCCATGCGAATATCAACACTTCTCCCGCTGTTAATTTTCATGTACTTGCACCTTTTGCACTCAGAATCTGTACTTTCTCTCTGTGTCTCTCTCCTCTCTCTCTCTCTCTCTCCTTTTTCCCAGCACCCGAATATATATTTATCTCGTTTCAAATTAATATCGTGTAAACAATTTTTGGGTTTCAAGCAACAATTGTGCTACCACAAATATAGCTGTACAAAAGCCGATCAACGCTTGATGCTTTTTTTAATGAAATTGATTAGTTTTTCAATGCTTTTAGATTCGATTAATCGAATCTAATTTCAAACTCGATTAATCTCCATATCGATAATTTTTTTGTTCAATTATTACAACAAATTTTAATATTTGAGCACGTGACAATATATTTATATTAATATAAAAACATATTTATAGATTAAAACATAACTTTCTACATGTCGAAATTAATTCCTTGTTCTTTACATTATTCTTATTTCCCAATTACATTTCTTAAATATTGAATGAAATGGTCATCTGAATTAAAATGCATGAGTATACTGACAGACTGCTGTAAAAAAAAATAACGAAATATCAAATTTTAACTCTAAAAGAAATACATACTGTCCTCTCATAGAAACAATGCTAGGAATAGCATTTACATCACTTTTTTAATAAATCTTCTTCAACCAATATTCCAAATATTAATTTTATTATATCTTTATTAATGAAAGAATCGTGACAACAATAAATAAAAATTTGAAAAAAACATTTTTCTTTAAACACCCGTTTCTTGAAAAAATTAAAATAATAGAATCCTTGATAAGAACTTGTGTACAATTCGTACTAATGGCAACGGCATGTTTATTAATCAATTCTATAAGGATTAAGATAAGAGTAAGATATTAAGTGTGATCAGAAGTTATGTTACCTATTTATCATGATTTAGAGAATATGTAGTATTTATGTAACGTACAATAAAGTGTATGTGAGTGCGAGTGTGATATAAGCTATTTCCTTATACATAGATCGGCGTTTTTTAATGAGCGCACATTGTTAAATTGAAATAGAATTTTTATCTAATTGGGTTTATTGTCTATATTCAGCCGTCTCACCACCACTCTAGCACCCTCCGTGATGTCCTGAATAAACTTTAACATTTCTATACGCACTTTACCGCCACTTTTAATGCCGTCGAGATTGTTCAAAGACCTTTGTTTTTGCCTGAGGCATCTCTGTCGAATGGCATTGTCTTTGTTATGTACATGCAATAGGTCGTAATAAAATTCCTCTGTGATATCCTGTAATTTTCTCGGCGAACCGTGCTTTGATGACGAACTCCTTCGTAAAGTGCGAGGAGTCTCGTTTTTTCCCTTTGAATTCTTCACGCGTGTATCTCTACTAGTCTCTGGAACATCCTTATCGATCGTTACACGAGATTTCTCGTTGTCGCGCTTTAGTCTTTCAGAATCAATTGCTAACTTGATAGACAATGAGTTATTCGCTATATTAGGATCCGTATATTTATCCTCCAACAAGACATCCGCTTCGGAAATTGTGTTCCCTGCCAATGCCATGTGTTGCATTTTCTGTTCGTCCTGCTGCAACATTCCACTGCCGATTGTTGACGAAAACCTACGTGCTCTACATGTGTGTCGCAGGGCCTTCTGCAAGGCAGGTGGCATTTGCTTAGTGGTGATAGCCTTGTCCGAAACTATCCTGGGTACGTTTGCCCCCTGTTGAAATAAGTTAATCAAATTAGATTCTTTAGAGATTACAGAAGTTGTTTTCGTAGACATTCCATTTGGATTTAATGAGGAATATAGCGCAGATTTATGTCCATCCGTTAATTTATCACGTTTGTCTATCTCTTCGATATTTCTGATCAGTGAATTTGTATCCCGCAGTTCTGCATTTATTTTCTTAAATGATGAAATCTCGGGAATAATATCGTCTTCTTGTTTTCTCATTTCGGTGTTATTTTTATCATTTTTGTCCTGTCCATTGTCATCGCCTTGCCACTCCATTAATTGTTCGCGTTTTTCTGTCGATATTCCTGCCGAGCAACTATCGCTATTATTCTTAATGCTAAAGGGGACGCATTGATGCTGCCATTGCGGCTGATACAGATTTAAATGATTCATCGCATTATGCCTATCATAATTAGAAACACTTGATTTGTCCATTCCTATATCAACATAATTAGTATTTACATTATGTACAGCGTCACTAGGAAAAGCATTAAACGACGATAGATTTGCACCGTTGCTGATTTCTTGCTGATTTTTATGCTGTTTGTCTCTATTGCGTGGAGAGTCGATCATGGTTACTAAGTTCTCCAACCTCAGTAAGCTTGAATTTAATAAACATTTTTCTCCAGCTTTCGTTTCAACTTTCTCCGAATTTTCCAAGACTTCATCCACTTCTAATTTGGTCTTTTGTTCAATGACGGCTACGCTATCCTGATCTTGTCGTATAGTAAACATTAGGCCCTCCATCACTAAATCGGTAATATTAGAGGAACGCAAAACCTTGTCGGGTATGGTTTTTCTCTCGGACTCTCTGCTTTTTTGTTTACGAATTTTGTACGACTTACTACTGTGCACATTATCTTCTGATTGTTTATCGTTAATATTCATTGTAGTTTTAGTATGTTGCCTATCATTCTCTTGGACTTCTAAGTTTGCCATCTCATTGCAAATCTCTTTTTGTTTTGTGTGTACAGACTTGTTGTTCCCTTTAATCACTTTTTGAACACAATCTTTATTTATATCTTTATTTATATCCTTTGTCTCAGTCTGCAGATTCTTTTGTACCGGTTGATCCATAATCAAGTTAGGTTTTGCACCCTCTGTCTCTTTCTCAATTAAAGATTGATACGTTAGTACATTACTAGAATCTACAATATTTTCACCCTTGGTCATCTCTTTGTCATCTAAACTGTCTAACTCATCACTACCTTTTGTTATTTCTGTAAGAGAAGGTTTTAACGAAGAAGATATTTTGTATTTCTGAACATCTTGTACATGTTGATTTTGTTTCTGTATTTCTACCAATTCTGTTTCTTTCGCCTCTTCTATTCCATGTGCCTTTTCAATTTCAATTTCATCTGTCTTCTTTGCTCTTAAAGATTGTTCTTGTACGCACTCAGTGGAACATTGTTCTATGTTTTTCTCACATCTTTCAGTAATACAGTTTATAGACTTACTTTCTTGCATATTATTATGACATTCTGTATTATGTTTATCAACAAGACGCATTTCAGCTGTAGTTGCGCCACTTTCAATTCTCTCATCCAGATTTTCACGAAAGATTGCAGAGTCCCTTATGTCGTCATCTTGAAAAGAATCGATTGTTGTTTTCAAAGCTTGATCCAATACATCCTCGAAAGCATTATATTTTGAAATTTGATCTATTTTTTTAATTTGACATATTGCAGCATTACTTGGGGGTACTTTGTCAGTGGTGGATATCGCGGTATTGATCATTTTCTCTTCAGTATCCAAAGAGGCATTCAAATCTTTAAATGTGGTACCGGCGTCAGCTTCTTTAACAATGGGATATTTTAAATCAAATAACGAGTTTTCCGTTGACGACAAAGTTCTTATAGTTAATACAAACGCGTGTGAAAACGCCGCAGCATTAGTTCGCTGCTGGAATTTCATTATTGCAAACATTTTGTCTTGACGAGTCCAAGATGTACAGTCTGTATTAATTAAAAAATAGTGTTAGAGTAAAGGAATTTATTCTTTTTAAAAAGTCTTACTTATCTAGAAAGGAATATCAATAACAATAAGAAAAGGATACTGTAAGTAACAAGAAGGTGTTGCGTGCCAAATTGTTGACCTTGCGTTGGATGACACTTTATGATTCTTCTAATAATTTTTAATAATTCTCGTCCGTATGAAAATTGCATGGTATTTCTGAAAATACATGTAAGTGAAGTTTTCGAAAATTAACAGTAAGGCGATACCAAATTTTCTTACTTCATTGTACGGTGGTATCTAAAGATAAACTTGTATATGTTCTTTTTGTGACACAGCCAATAAGAGCCAGGAATGGTTAACAGAGACTCTTTCTCTTGTTCGAGCCAATCAAATTGGCTAAGCGTTCGTACATATATTCCAGGCATTTTCTTTCAGGCAATAGATCTTGGAACACTGGAACTAATCTTCTCAAGTCCTGCCTACCGACTGATCCTTTCACGATAAATGCAAGACAATAAAGCACCCTTTGCTAAAAACAATCATTTAAAAGTTTGAATTATTTTCTCTCTACAGTGCATACAAACACAGATATATGAACTTACTCCTTTTATGACTTCATTAATAAATACATCTTCCACTATGTCCCATGGTAAAAATTCTGTCGATGTAAAAATGCCAAATCCTCTCTTACTTTCGATATGTACACCTACTGATTCTACAACCAATAGCGTATCTGTAAGACAATATATGTATTAACAAACACAATTTTATCCCTTTAAAAAATGGTTTCTGTTAAAAACTTCATTTTTTATTAAAAATTTAAAATTTACCCTGCTTGATAGAGGTGACGAATGATTTACACTGCTGTATCAGAATACACGCCGATACGATGAGAGAAACTGAAGCTCCCGATATAATCCATGTAAAGAGAATTGCACAGACTAACGTTAAACACAGACTAACATTAAAATGCCTTCCGCTTCGCAACGCAAAGTTTATGATGTTGGCATTTGACAGATTCGTGCTTGCTTTCTCTTCCAGTGTTAACTGTATCCCATTGGCATTTCTAAAGGATACTTCGGTGGTAAGTGCTGGTATTCGAAAATTCGACGACATCAATGATGATTCTGTGTACAAACACTTCGGTGAACATCAAGTTTGTTTAACAATATACATGAAATAGTAAAACTCTGTTCGAAAATAAGATTTGCTTACTCGTTGTATTTTTGTCACTTTTTGAAGCATATTTAAGGGATCCGATATATTCGTCGCTTATTTTTTCAATTATATCCTAAGTGATAAAATGTCAGTATTCATAATGTCGAACTTACATTCTTGTACAAAATATATAAAAACTTCGATTAGAGAAAGAGAGAGAAAAAGTGGTGATTGAACAAACACAGATGTAACTCCTTATCCGCCTCCTCCTCCATACAGGAATGTTCGTGGATCGCCTAATGTCCGCGTGGCGCTAGTGACAGTCACCATCCGGTCCATAGACCTAGTAAACATAGATTGCCTATGGACAGTCAAGATTTGACACCCCCTGGAGCCGAGGTGGTACTAAAGCCGTGATCCTAACCGGTTTTTTCTTAGCACTAATCTTTTAATTGGCTTTATATAAATACAAAATTCTTGTTTAGAATTAAAGTACGCATCAAAATCTAGGTCATGGTGGTCGAATTTATATCGAAAACGAAAAAAAATTAATATTTTTTGTTATACGTGACGACCACCACATATGAATTCGACCACCATGAATTCTAGACAAGAATTTTGCATTTCTATAAAGCCAATTAAAATTAGTGCTAAGAAAAAAACCGAAAAAACCGGCTAGGATCACGGCTTTAGGATCACCTTAATAAGAAAGGACTCTAGAGTCCCTATACTTATATAACTTACGATAATTCCTTCGCGTAAACGGGATTTACTAGATTTCGACAAATGAAATTATAGATTCTCTAGTGAATTTCCTCACTTTTGTAATTTTCACCTCGTCCCAAGATACAGAATCGAACCCCAGGAAAACGGAGGAAAAAGAAATCTCCAGAGATCTCTGCAATTAGTTGTATATTTACCTAGAGCTTGCATTGAGTAAAATAAGATTATTATTGCATTTAAAAAAAACGGAAATTCTTATATTTGTGAAAGATCTGTGATTCTAAGCTTAATTTTTATTTTAAATCGTGAAGAAGGCTCTTGGCCTGTATCCCCATGGGAGAAAGAAAGGGCGAGTTAAAAACTCGTCCAAATAGCGGAACAGAAAACGGAATTACTCTGATTGGCTAATCTCCAGGTTGAGGCTCTCTAGATAGGGATATTAGCCAATCAGAGTGTTTCCGTTTTAATTCCGTTCCGCTATTTCTTCCTCCATCATGGGGATGCACCCTTACCCTTATACCACATCCCGACGTCCAATAGTAGAGTTTGTTGTCTAGAGTTTTTTAGCTAGTGACATTTTTGTTTCTAACAGCTCCTGCACAGTGCACACTTTCCGCTATTCCGCTGGAGAAATCTGTTCTTTCGTTCTTTATTGTTGTTCTTTGGCGTGAGTCTTTTCTCCGTATAAAGCGTAGAAATGGCTGAGGTAGGTTTTGTAATTTAATAAATTAAATCCGAGAAATTCTCACACATCGATTATGCGAAGCGTAATTGCACGAATTATACGGTTTGCTTGATTCTTTAAATATATCGGTAAAATAATATTTAAGTACCACATGGGATTATCACACACGCATCTAACGAATATTAAATTATTATTTTTTTTCTCTGTATTTTTCATAGACGGATGAAACTCAGAAGAAGAAGAGGACCTTCAGGAAGTTTACCTTCCGGGGGGTCGATCTCGACCAACTCCTGGACATGCCAAAGTAATATTGATTGTCAGAACATAACCTATATAACAATTTTTTAACCTTCCAATAAATAGTATTGCAATCTACATTCTTAGGTTTCTTTTAACACACACACACAAGTTCGAGATAGAACAAGATTTATTTAATTTTACGTAAACAGCTTATTTTTATGATACATCCTTTAAATTGTTCGAACATGGAGAAATGATAAAGGAAAAGTTATCATTTTGACAAATTTTTTCCAGTGAACAGCTGATGGATTTGATGCATGCGAGAGCACGTAGGCGCTTCTCTCACGGTCTGAAAAGAAAATCCATGGCTCTTGTCAAGAAGCTACGCAAGGCAAAGAAGGAGACTCCGCCTAACGAAAAGCCTGAGATTGTCAAGACGCACTTGCGTAATATGATTATCGTTCCAGAAATGGTTGGCTCGATTGTTGGCGTATATAATGGCAAGACCTTTAACCAGGTTGAAATCAAACCAGAAATGATTGGCCATTATCTTGGAGAATTCTCCGTTACGTACAAACCTGTTAAACACGGTAGACCTGGTATTGGTGCCACTCATTCTTCACGATTTATTCCACTCAAATAAAATGTATTTCTCTATGCATCAATAAATTGTCAAAAGTGTAACAAAAAGGTTAATTTTTTTTGCGAGTATTTGCACAAATAAATTTGTAACATTGTGAGAACAAGAACTCATATTTTTACAAAATTTGCAAGTTTTAAAGAAAATAATTAATGTGTGTGTGTGTAGTAGATTTCTCAAAATTTAATTATTTATAAGTATGGGAAAACAAGTAATTTTGATGAATACGAAAACTAGAAGGAACATGATGTATAAGGAATCTTTATATCGAAATATCTTGCAGATTATATTCTTATATATTTAATTATATTTGAGTATTTATTCATTATATAATGCGTGCTCTAAGATTTTGTTTCGAGAAGATTTTTATTAAATACTTTGCAAATTAATAGGTAACACACTGTAGAAGAATTCAACATTTTACATGCCAAAGTGTAAGAAATGTGTTATTCGAATATGTCTACCCGTCATTACTATTACTTTGTGTCATAGCAAAGTAGGCACTTTGAAGTTCTCGAAGATTGTTTTCTAGCGTTGCGACCTCGTCGTACTTGCAATCGTCGCGGGCTTGTTTAATGTACGCGCGAAGATTGCTCATTTGTTCGATTATTGGATCCATGGAGGAAGACATGATGGGTGTAATATGAGACGGACCCCAGCCTTGAGATTGAGTCACCATCGCTTGTGCCTAAAAATTTAAAAACAATTACAACGAAACTTGAATGAATCAACAAATGATTAATCGATAATTTGACAACGAAATCTTAGCCTATGCAAATTTATCTTTTTTAGTAAGAAATAGATATCTTGTATTTTGAAAAATATCAGATATTAATTAATAATTATACTACATAAAAAAAGCTAAGAGCATAAAATAAAGACTGGGTCGGATATTAAGTTTTTTGCGTGACTCTGACATTAGATCTGACTATAATTTGGAATTTGTGTCCTCAATTATCCACTAATTTGTTAGTATATGTTACCTGACTGGTTTTCAAAGATGGACTGCTGTCTAAATTCCATGTATCTTTCTTGCGCTGTTCTTTCGGTTTCTCTCGTTGTTCTTCCTCCAATTGCCGCTCGTACGCTATTCGGGCCTCTATCCTTTTCTGACGTTCCTCTTGTAAAGCTGCATATTCTTCTACCGAGGGCAAGGGCTGTAGAGCTAACAACTCCTCTTTCAGAAATATCATTGCCGATGTTCTAACCATCTGATATAGCCTCAATTCTTGTCCCAATGCCTCCTGCGAATCCTCCGTACCTTTCTTCACGCCATGGACTAGAATTCTTTTACTGGTCGCATCGATGTTTTCCCCCAACTTTGCCAGTTTGACCCGTAACGATTGCGCATCTTCTAAACCGTATATAGTCTCGCCTTCTCTAAAACAGTTTTATAAGCATTCTAATATAAGTTCCTTCGAGATACTAGGTTTTATAACTGATAAGTTGCACATGAAGGTAATCGCTCGGTGTATTTTTTTAATGCAGTATATTATATTGTGCAGATAAAGATAGATTATCTTAAATATAAGTTGACATACTTCAACGATTCCCACATTTTGTTGTACATCGCTAAATACTGCGACGCTTCGTTCATGTATTCCCTCATTTTCTCGTAGAATTCGCAAATGATCGGTTTGTCGAATTGCTTCGCTTTCTGCATCTCCCTTGCATCGAGCAAGTTTATGCAGTGAGTACAAACTCTAAAATGCTGTTCACCGCTAGCCGGATCATTGACCAGCGATAGAACGCTGTTCAGGCTACCGTTGGAAGGTGAACGCGCTAATTTTGTGAGACCAATACCCGCACGTGTTACCCTCTCGGTGAATGCTCGTTCCGACGTAGGAGACAGAGCGGAATCATCTTGTATCGATACAGGACTAGTCATTTTTCCTGTAAAAAAACGTATTAGCCAAGTGTAATGTTAGGAATACATTTAAATCATTTCGTAGATGATTATAATGTTACACGTGTTACATACGCGCATCGATCAGGGACAAAAATACTGTACAATTATGGCACATAACCGCCCCACATAATCTACAGTGATGTTTTCGTCTTGCCAGATGAAAGCTCTTAGCACAATTAGGACACAATTTCACATCCTTTTCATCGATCCACGGTACAACGGTGCGTTCGTGAGCTGTTGAAAAATTTCATTTACGTCACGCATCAATTGTACAAGCAAGATACAAGGGATATATTAGTAGATTCGATAAGAAAGAATTTATATAAATTTTCTCACCTTTTCTATCGACAGGATCAGACGGTAAGTTATTTAATAATTTGTCTAGCCTTATGAGAAGCTTATTTGTTTCATACGCGTATCTCTCTAGCCGAGCGTTTCTCACACCCTTAAAATACTTTGTGTGAGATGTAATTGCACCTGGAATAGTTTTCAGAAATCGATTACGATAAATTAAATTCAATCGCGTATCTCGCCACTTGCAAATGCTGCACGCAATTTCCAAATACTGATTTTAGGAAACTGAAGAGCTAAAAATCTGACTGTTTGGGAATTTTGATAAGAAAACTTTTTCTTATGAAAACTAGCTTCTTGGCCCGTACAAGTACCACAGCGATACCTATTTCTTGTGGTCCCCAATTGATCTCAGGACTCCGTCTCTTGTCCTGCGGTATCGCGCTTGGAAACGCCTCCGGGATATCGTCCTGCTTCAGGATCTTCTTCTTGGCTTTGCCAAACAGATCTAAAATAAAAATCGATATTCCGACAATTCGTTCCGTACATCTGCACAGTGAACTTAACACCGATGAAGGCGGCCGCTAGAAATCCGCGAGCTCTCGTTCCGCTTGTCCGAGGCACGTTGTCGAGAGGTACGTGCACGCGCGTACGTACCTTTCAGCGATCTCAGGATCTCCGGATCGTCGTTGTGAATCTCCTCGAAGTGTTTGGTCAGGTGATTGGGCGCCTTGAAATCGGTCATGCATATAGGGCATATAAATCCCTCCAGCACTACGTCGTTGCCCGCCATCGTGAATATCCTCTCGCTGGGATATCCTCGCGATTCGCAGTACGGAGGAGTCCCTCGATCGCGTTCAACCACGTTCACGTCCCAATCGTCCTGATGTAGGCGTCTCTCCAGCGTTGCGGAGGAAAGCGCGTCTTGCGCGGGCAGCCATATTGAGCGCGACAGCTGATTATAGAAATGTCAAATGCGTTAACCTCGCGCAACCGGGTCGTATCTTTTATCCTCGACGGGTCAGCCGGTTCTCAAAATATTGAACGATAACGCTTTTACGCGACTCGCTTTCTTCCCGAGGAGACGATGCGTCTTGCTGATGCAGATTTTATCGCGTCTTGCGTTATCGGTATTCCTTATGACGAAAAAAAACCCTGATTTTTATCGGTGTATCATTTATCTGGGCGCATTTTGCTGGAATCGAAGATAAGTGTGTGAAAAGCATCAATTATAACTTTGTGAAAGATTAAACTGGCTTGAGAAAAGTAACGCGCTTTACTTATTTGAATCGTAGATTATTGAAAATTGAATTGGCAATTAAGTATAGGCGTTTCTTTTTTTTTTGTTGCACTGGATTTTAAAACTCTCCTTCTCGCTTTCGTCAAATTTCAGACAAGAATTAGATAATTTTGACATAAAGAGAAGTCTTTGCTAGTTCAGAGTGTTAAGTTTTTATTAATAATGTAGTAAAAATTCCAATATCTTACTTTAACATTACAAAAAAGTGGCGAATTGTTACTTTCTGAGTAACGCTAACGTGTTTTAATGAAATAAAAATTATCGCGGTATTAAAATTATACCAGAAAAAGTGATAGAATTGTTACAAATTATAGCAAACATTTTATTTTGTAAAATACTTAATATTTTATAACGTTAGTCAGGCATGTGTCATAAAAGCAAATAAATTGAAAGATGTGTATTTTTTCACAGTTTTTACCTGAGATAGAGTACGAATAAAATTGTTGTATAAACGTATATTTACTGTGTTGTGTGTCATTACGATTAATACGTGTACACACATATACAAATGTAATTGCATTAATCACACACAGACACATAAATAAAAAAGCTACTAACTATATAACCTGATGACATATGGAAATGATGATATCGGTGTTCCTTTTTACAAACTATAGGTTCTTTGATCTATCTGTCACAGCATGGATAGAATTATTAATTTTTCATCACCTAATTATCTGGTACATGGAAAGGAGACCTAGGAATGACAAATTGTAG